TTTAGGATCATTTATAAAAGCTTATCAATGGACGACTGATTAAATTATCACTCACAAGTCTAAATAAGTATTCTATTCATTTTGTTATCTAAAATTATTAATTTAATTAATCCCTTGTAAATGATCACTCGTAAAGGAGTAGTGAATTACAATAGAACAGTTATCCATTACATTTTTATTTTCAAATAATCATGTCAAAGTACTTATTACTTTAATAAGAAGGTAATTTGTTAACTCTTCATTAACTGGATTTATCGTCGACATTTTCAGTGTTTATTGGGTTCCTATTCAGAACTTTTAATCATTCTTCTTTTCATTTTGTATATGAAGAATGTCTACTAGTAATACTACTACTGGGTCACAAAAATATTTATTATCTCTGTCAGATTATTAAAACGTAGGTAATCATGTTAATCCATTCAGTCATTTTTGTCATTCAGGAGTTTTTTTACACTTCTAGTTACTGGTGAACACATGATAATTGTGATTATGAGGTTGTGTAGATGTAAACTGTTCAGGAGTCCTATATTAGGACGAAACAGCCATTCAGTGCTTCCAGGTTTTCAGTAGTGGTGAAACATTGATCAGCTCATGATCTCAATAAAATTCTATTTCAGTTTGATAAAATACTTGGACTGCTACTTGATGGAACTAAAGAAATATCTGGTTATTTGCACTTGTTCAACTGACTTATAACTGATACATGTTAATTTAACGGAGATAAAACTGTGGATGAGGTTTCATTAAACACATTAAATAGATCTACAGTAGATACAATCACTTTTCATAAAAAAGTAAATCAGCATTATTCTTAATTGTGTGTGAATTATTCATCCGATCTATAATAATAATATCATACTGGTGTAGGTTTTGTAGACATTATATAATTCTAATAGTGTATTTCAAAAACTGACTTTAATGAAAACAATATGGAAAACCTGGAATCACTGGGTAGCAGTTTCTTCCTAGTGTTGGACTCTTCAACACTAACCACCCACGACCCCGCATCTGGGGATCAAACACGGTGAAATTCAAACATGTTTGTTTTAACACACTTATCCACCGTAGTCAATGAATGACGGTCATGCAATATTGCTAAGTGATTGAGATTGGATATCAACACCGTTGGATGACAGTTCAGTGGTTCAAAATGAAACGGTCACACATGAGACAGAAGGTACTGGATTCAATTCTCGGATGTGGGGTTTTAGATACACAATGTTGAGTAATCTCGTACTAAGACGTAACAGGAGTCCACTGCTTCCAGGTTTTTAAAGATGATTTAATTAAGATCATTACGTCTTATTGTGTTTATAGTCTTGTCGTTTTTGTGATATTCACATTATGAAAACTATACTTTCGGATTATAAAGATTCGAAACATATTTATTGCCAAACATGTAGTCATAACAGATAATACTATCGAAAATTGAATAGGTTTTATCAAATCAATACATAGAATTAGGAATGAAATATTTTTGTAGTGTATACATTTTGATATAAAATCTTTCTCTCCTTACATTTCGCTTGATAAATTATGTTGTCAAATAGGCAATTAAAAATAATAAATAAAATAATTATGCTTTTCCAATAGTTAAATATCATGAGTCAATTGAAGCTAGACCACAATGGAAAACCTAAAAGCATTGGACGGTCATTTTGTCCGATTGTAGGAATTCTCAGCAGTGCGCATCCACGATACCGCACCACTCGGGATTTCAATCCAGGGTCCACCGGTCTCGCGCGCGAACGCTTAACCATTAGACCACTGAGCCAGCCGGCACATCCAACGCTGTTCAAGTTTAAATTCAACCAATCCACGAATTTGTGCCACCGTTCACCATTGTTGCTATCTCACAACTGACCCGGTTAAGCTCCACTTGTCACTGCATTTCACTAGAACTTCAGGGAATACCTCCTATGTTTTTGATTTGATAATATAATCATTACCACAATGATATAATTTGAAATAATTATTGCAGTATAATAAGCAAGAATTTGATTGTACTAACAAATATACTAAAATGAAGAAGGAATGCGTAAATACTTTTGAGATTATTATTCTGTGTTGTATCATATAGGTTTGACAATTAACTAATTCGTTTTTGTTGTAGTAGTTTTAGTGAAATTTGGCATGTAAAAAGTACTTTGCACTTGGTCATCATGTATAAGAGGTAAGTACGGCTAGTGCACTCTGTAAGACTTAATTGTTATTTTTGATTGTATTCCATCATTCTTTCCTGTTGTACACATTTTATTTGATTAGCACTATGATCTGAATAAGTATTTGGTTGTGTTCGGAGGAAAACAACCGTGCTTTTCGTTCGTTGAAGTTATTTCTTCATTATTTTTCCATGGATGGCTTTAAGTATGAAAGAGAATTGAGTAACTTTAATAGAGTAACATGGCATTTGTATTGTTGATGATTCTGTGGAAAAAAACTATATTAGATCTTATTCGCTTTTTTATGTATTTTTCTTTCAATCTTCCCATGTTTTATCATTATCAGAGAAAAATTAATGTTGAACTAATATGCCTTTAGGAACATACAACATTCACTTCTGAAATTTATCAATTCTTGTATCTAACCAACTTTTCGTTATTTGTTCCCATTGACTCTTCGAAAAACTATGATATGTTGTGTAGAAATAGTCGGTCAGTCAGTTATAACATAAAGCCTGGTACGTATATACATCAGTTCAAGTTGTTCAATTCCCATTATTATTAAGAAATGAAATTGTCAGGTCAAATCCAAGAATAGCAGAGGTAGTAAAAGTATGAGTAGTGATTGAAAAGACTAGGTATTGAAAGTATGAATATAAATTAGTGAAGTAAAAATATACACAAAAATGTTAACAAGAATTCAGTGTGTAGAACTATGAAGACTACTTATAAGAGAATAAATCGTCAATATATTGCATTCAATTATGAATAGAAATTCGGAATATTTGAGATAAATGACCAGGAGTGTTACATTATTAAATCATTTGATAATGACATAACTTTTCCCTTTTGTAGAATACGACGCTAGTTTATTAGAATTCATACAGACATTATGTTCATGTCATTACTGTTATGTTCGAAGATTCTACTGTGGTACGTGCTACTTATATTGATGTAAGCAGTATATGACGCGAGTTAAAAACGTAGTGTCTGGCAGCAGAAGATGGGGGAAGATCAAGAAAAGAAGAGCGGGAACACAATGCAATTTGTAAGAAAACGCCTGGACAATCAAATGTAAGACAATGGATTGATGCAACAGGAACAGTCCGGTTTGATATGATGGATTGATATATTGCAAACTAACGATTTACTATATGGTTTTTCTATTTTACCAAGTAACTCTGTAATTTTGTGCTAAATACAATTCGGTTGTCCTCATCTGTGTTTTCCTTCACTACACTACTACTTATACTTGGAAAACGTGAACTTCAGCAATTCTTATGATTCGAAATGAGAATATGAAAGACTTGTAGCTCTCCAAAACAAGTTATCATTAGACTGAAATACTCACTTTCATACTGATTTCTTACCCAATAATACTTCATATAGGAAAAAATAAACATCGAGTTACTGCAAAAGTACATTGAATTTAGTTCACCTAAATTGATACAAGGACTATAAATATCATACTGAATGAAAATTCACAATTATCACATTGAATGAAATTGATACAGAATAAATATAAGACTATTGACCTGAAATAATGTCACACTAAACGATGGTTTACAGTTGGCATGCTGAACAAAATCGTTACTGAAGTGATACAAAAAATAATATTGACCACTTTTATTGTCACCCTTTTATCCCATCATATCACAAATAAAATAAATTTTGAATGAGTGAATTAGTCGAAAACACTGATTCATCGATAAATATTTATCCATTAAACTGTTATAAATACATCTTTATTTGTATTGTTAGTTTGAATAGTGGCTAGCAGTGGAGTCCAGGACGCGTGTTTCGTCTCATTCGGGACTCGTCACCTGAATGTATCTGCATCTCAGAGTTGATGTCCACTCTATGACTCAAACCCAGTACCGTTCGATTCAAACACGATCACGTTACCCCCTTTGGCTACTGAGTCCTATTATTAACTTAAGTCACCAAAGATTATTAATTTACACTGAAATTTGTATCCGCATCTTATAGAACAATAAGAAATTTTCATGTTAGTAATATTAGGTACCATTAGTTTCATTTCATTTCTTAATCCTATATCAATTTCAATAGTTGAGATCATCAGTCAATTGAAGCTAGATCACCATGGAAAACCTGGAAGCATTGTACAACCGTTTCGTCTTATTGTGGGACTCCTCAGCAGTTGTCATCCACGATCCAGCCTCGCGAGATTCCAATTCAGGACCTATCAGTCACGCACGCGAACGCTTAACCATTAGACCACTGAGACAGCCTGTATTCAACGGCGTTAATGTCTAACTTCAACTAATCTAAGAAATTCACCGACACATTCACCATTGTCTTCAGTGAGTTCCCATCTCACAACAGACCTGGTTGGACTCCACTGGTTATTGCTTCTCACTAGAACTCCAGCATATACCACTTGAAGTCAGTCACTAGTGAGCATATGTTGATCAATATCAGACGTGTTTTTTCTGGATATTATAGTGATTTCAATAGTTGAGACCATGAGTCAATTGAAGTTAGACCACCATGGAATCCTATATCAATTAATTGTTCAAAATATAGAGTGAAGTTTCGTACACAAAAATAAAATCCCATACATCGGAAACTTAAATCATAAAATCAGTGTATCAGATTATAACTATCATACAAGTAACTTGGGAAAAAAATTGTGAAACCAAAGTTTCAACGACCGTAAAAAATGAGAACAAACATATAAATGAAAATGAATTATCTGTTTGTTTATTTTAACACCCTAATCCTTCTTGTACAAACCAACATATTGATTACTAACAATAAACATAATATTCATTATTGAATGAATAGTAGACATAAATTAATAATAATGAAACATACTTTTTATATTGTTTTTCTTCTGGTTGAAAAAATGATGTACCCATACCACGATGACCAATATCTACGGCTGATGCACGTTTCTTCCAATGATGTTGATAAGTAACTTCTAAACATGGACTAAGTGGTTTAATCATTGGATAGATAATAAGATAACGTACTAGAAGGAGAAAAAAATTTATTATTATTATTATTATAGATTCATATTGCAGATAGAGATTGGTGTATTTGGTTTCGACTTATATCTTAAATGTTATGACTAGTGATACTAGCTGGTTGCATAAACTGAAGTAGGCAGAACAGGGTTTGAACTTGTGAATTAGTGGTTGAAAGTTGAATGTTTATATCACAAAACTACTGGTTCACAATGAATTATTGACAAACAAAGCTATTAGAACAACAGAAATTACTTTCTTGTTTTACATTAAGTTAATTAATCATAATAAAAGAGAGATAACGCAAGTGACAAGTGTTGAAATAGTATAACTATCTCACCACGACAATGATAAGTTTATCACACTTTCGTTCTATATGCAAAGGTCAGGTCGATCACTAAATATTTCATGAATAATGGACATAAAGTGGATGTGTTAAAATCATTTAAAATAATTAACAAGTAATGAACATCACTTTGCTTTGAAGGGGTCATTGCGATCAAGCGCTTTTGACTTGAACTTTGGATACAAAAAAAATTAAAGTAAATCTATCATTGTTATGGTAAAATAGGTATATTATTCCAATGCATGTCAGTTACTTTATCTCTTTCATCCCATTTACATTCACTACCGATGTTAACTTTAATTTCATATTAAATAGGTCTTAATTACCAATCATTTGGTAACTTGTCTCATTATAATCATTAATAACTTCACACGTCCCCCGTCTGTTTTTCTTTTCTGTGATATCCTCTTCAACGTATGAAATACTAATCAATCTTAACTATTAGGTGAAATATATTGTTTCTGTTGTGAGTTTATGTCCGGCTTTTATCACGTGATTTATCCATCAATCAAAATACGACTTGTACAATCTTAGCACTGTGTCAAACCAATGATGTTCGACCGGTATGAACAGCCTAGCGTCCTTATTGGTCCTATGTCCGCCTAGCCCGTTCACTTGAGTCCAGAACACCAAATACCAGCTCCCACTATGCGAATCGAATCGAATCATTTATTTCAGACATACTGGGTTTATATATCAACCAAACAGATCGCAACGCACCATAGAAAAGGAAATAACATTTGTACACAATAAAGCCAAAAAGTGACTGTGAACGTGAGAGGCAGTAGTTAATAAACTGAACATAGTTTAAGAACAGTAGATCGTACAATAATAAATTATAGGTTAAAATAAAGCTTATAATAAGAGGAATATAAATATACATAATCTAATTATTGAATAGTTATACCATAAGAATGTATAGATAATATTAGTCAATTAATATGTGTCAGAAGTTACTCGTGATTTAATCTTAGGTCGGATATAACAGTTTCCTCTTGTTTCTTAAGTGGTTTCAAGATGAACTTTATTAATTGCTGTATTTTCAATAGTTGAGATCGTGAGTCAATTGAAGCTAGACCACAATGAAAGACCTGGAAGCCACTGGACGACCGTTTCGTCTTATTGTGAGACTCTTCAGCAGTTGGTATCCACGACCCCGCCTCGCGAGATTCGAACACATAGCCTATCAGTCTAGCGCGCGAGCGCCTAACCACTTGACCATTGAGCCAGTATCCAACGTTGTTTATATTAGACTAATAATGCTGTATGTAAAACTTTTTATAATTATATTACTAACATAAATTTAGGGCTTTTACAAATGAGGAATTTTGAAATTTGGTGAATCCATGTTATTTGCCAAATCTTACTGTTGTCGCATTACCCAATTAACTAAAATGATGTAAATTAATTTCAATTTAAAGATCATGAGTAGTATATTATCACACTGGAAGTATAATTATTTTATAATGAGATTAAGCATTCACGCGTAAGACCGAAGGTCAAGTGTTCGAATCCCGTGTGTGAAGTGTTATCTCTAAAAACACGTCAATGACAAAGTTAAACAAGAATGGAGAGAGTGGACAGTCCTGACGATCACCACTTGAGGTAATCAATTCTGATGACAGTTCGCTATAAGCTCTCACTCTACCAGTTGTGTTCAAGTAGAGATCCTTTACAAGCTTAATGTACTTCTTTGGTACTCCTTTCAGTGACAAACACTGCCATAGAACCTCACGATCAACAGAGTCGAATGCCGCCTTAAGGTCGAGAAATACTAACATTGTGGGGCGTCTGAATGTGTATCTGTGTTCTAGAACCTGACGTAGTGTGAATATCTGGTCTATACAACCACGTCCAGGTCGAAAACCAGCCTGATTTTCTCTAGTCTGTTCTTCACGAGCTTTGATTAGGCGTCGAAGTATTATTGAAGCTAATATTTTAGACACTATATTAGTCAAACTGATTCTTCTGTGATTGTCGCAAGAGGACTTTTGTCCTTGCTTATAGACTGGCACAATCAGTGATTGAGACCAGTCAGATGGGATTATGTTCAGTTCCTAAATTCTACCTAAGACCTCAGTTAATCTCACTGCTAATACTGGACCACCATCCTTAAAAATCTCAGGAGTAAACCTGTCAGGGCCTGCTGCTCTCCCTCGTTTCAGATTTCCTATGGCTTTTTCAACTTCGTAAAGAGTTGGAGGACCTACATTAATTTGCCATTCAGACTGACCGGAGATCGTGGCAAACCGAAGTGTGGCTGAAGGCCAGCTGCCTTTCTATCTCTCTTGCTTTCGCTACCCACTACTGTTCACGATCATTGTGTAGGCTTCCTACCAGCTTGCGCTTAAGCTGACTCCGCTCTTCGTTATGTTCAAAGCCAGATGGAATGAGTTTTCGAGCATCTATCAGTGCGGTAGATGTTGCTGAGATCCAGTAGTGCTCTTAGCTTGACTATCATTAAGTAGGCCCCTAAGAGGTTTCCTTGCATCATCTTTCCTACGTCCAGTAAGACGCAGACAAATAAGCACTCGCACTAGAGCATAATATGAATCTAAGCATGTGCTCCAGAATGAGCGACAGTCTTCTATCGAGCCCCTCCTTCGGTGGCTGATAGCAATGTGATCTATTTGAGTCCAACCTTGGGACGAATTAGGCGGTCGCCACGTCAAAAGATGTTTTTGCTGATGCTTACAGTTAGTATTTGCAAGAAACAGACGGTTATCTGAGCATAGCTGCAACAGACGGTCGCCATTATCTGTTCTTTGAGCCACCACACCAACAGAAGCTAGTCCTTTGCAGCTTCCTTTCATACCACGACATCAAGTCATACACTGACCAACTCTCTGCTCTTTCCAACCAGTCGCAGCGTCGGAGAATAATGCAAGACGTGGAATTCTCTGGGACGACATTCGTAGAACATGTCCAAACCAACAAAGCCGATGTTTCAAGATGGTGACATCAATTGGATTATCTTCTCTGTGCCCGAACAAACGATGCCGAACCTCTGCATTACTAACATGGTGTTGCTACTGGATTTCAGCAATCCTACATTTAACTTAGAGCGTGGAAACCGGGAATAATGTTCCGCGTACTCGAAACGCTCGCATTAGCGGCGGGAGGTGATAAAGGAACGTGAGAAGTGTTAGTCGTGGGGGTAAAAGAGGTATTGGAAGGTGTAGAGAGGATTTGATTGTGACCAACTTGGTCTCGTGTGTTCTTACGGGTATGAGGGCTGATGTCACTTCCCGGCTGCCCACACCGTCGAAGGGTATTTCTTGAGGAACCTGAAAAGGAAGTTGGATTAGTGTTGGTCTTAACGAATTGGGAGTGTGACCACAGAGCCGAAAGGACAACTACTTGAAGCCGGTCACGCACGACCGTCTTGTAGGAAGTTTTTCACGTGTTGACTCCGTTCTTCAAAGGGCCTTACTGCTGGAGACGGAAATCCGTGAGGTAAGGTGAGGTGTGACATTTTTAGGGTCGACCTTTTCTAACCCCTTTCTTCCTTGTGAGAAGGCAACATTACTGCAGGTTGCTGGCTGTCACACCCCTCTACAGTCAGCAGTACGACTTCGCCCTCAGACCTTGAGTTGCTGCTTTCAGTCTTACCGTTCTCCAACCGACCTGCCGGGCATGGTAGAACCTACAGGAATATATGCTCCAGCCAATATAGCTCGGTTAGGTCATCACGATAGGCAAGCCGGACCACCGCGTCAAGGTAGCCTTTACAAAACCTTACTGTCCTAGGCTCGACTCATGTAATAGTGTTAAACGTACACTCTTGAGAAGTCAGAAAATAAGACTAAACAGCTATGCAGTACTGTCTGATCCTCAATATTTCATCACCTTATATGTCAATGAGTGATCGAAACTAAAACCTCAAATTGAGGAAAATGATACAATTTTATTTACCTCGAAGATCTCCCACTGGAGCTAATGATGAATTCAGAATTTGTGCAGCTTTACGTCCGTACGTATCAACGAATGGACCAAAACGAGCAGAACCAATAAATTTTAATGGAGTAGATGAACTAATTTTAGCTGAACATAATAAGAGCAAATTACAAATGAAAGTTGTGATTCGAATAACAAAATGAGAGAAAAAACGATCATTTTTTTCAACTAACTTGTTTACGTCCCAAAATACTGCAGATTCTCATAGTATAAATTTGAACTACACATATAAGTGAACAATATAACTTTCTGAGATGGTGGAGATTTCTAGCTCAGGTGGATGATTTTGATCAAGTTGTGTTCTCTAAGCTGGATGGTTTGGTCCATCACCAAATTGTTACATTCCATTAGATCTTTATTAGGATTTATTTTAGTATGCCGTAATATTTAAACGGAAATATTTAAAATATTAAATCAATCAAAATAAATTACGGGTCAATCATGACAGTGAAATAGTTTACGTTACTGACCGTAGTCAGTAAAAAGTACATATCGATAGTAACACGGGTGATAGTTGTAGCAATAATGATAATTAGTAATAACTGCTTGAATAAATATTTCAAAATAGGAAACATGTAAAAACTTAGGTGAATAAAGTTGATAAGACAGTAATTAGAATGGTGGTCTGTAGAGATTGTAGCAATTTTTATAGTTGGATTTATGGCTCAGTGGTCTAGAGGTTAAGCGTTCGCATGTGAGACCGAAAGTCCTGGGTTCGAATCCTGTATGAGGGGATGTGAGTGCGCACTGCTGGGGAATCCCATACTGGGACGAAACGACCATCCAGTGCTTGAAGGTTCTAGATGGTGATCTAGCTTAGATAGAATCGTTAATTTAACTAATAATCAATAAAAAATGGCATAATAGAAAATGTGTGGATAGCCCGTTTATAAAGACTGAAAAGGAAAAAAGAAACAAAAAGAAGTAATTAATTTGCGAGAATTTATTTGAATCTCCCCGTTGTTGATGCTAAGGACTGTAATTGATCAGTCCCTTTTGCCATACGTGAATTCAGCGCAGACAGCCTCAATAATGACATTAAATCACAGGCACTTATAGCAGAGTGGGATAGTGGCTAGCAGTGGAATTCAGGACGCGCGGTTCGTTTTATTTGGGACTCGTCAGCTGAGTATATCTGCTTCCCAGCGTTGATGTTCATGTCGGGCTCAAACCCAGTACCTTTTGGTTCAAACATTCAACGCGTTATTTACTTAACTAATGAGTTCAGATAGTCGTCGGTTAATAAATGTTGATATTCTCTGATAGGTTTTTCTGATCAAGGTAGAAGCAGAAGTACTACAAACATTATTTGAAAAAAAACCAAGGTTGTTATCTTAATTCGTTGGGACTTCAATTATGTATAAGACAGGCGAGAACGAACCCTATTCAGAAGGTTTGAACTTATTTGACAAATTACTTTGAATGGTTTGGATCGATCTACTATATAGCTACTATGGACGAAGTGTGGAAGGATAGAGCTAAGTTCTAATTCTGTCTGACACTTTCCAAATCACGAAGAGGAGTTCGCCAATTTGTTGGCCAGTTAATCACACAATACAGTCAATGTACCACTACTCATAGAAACGTTTGGACGAGCGAATACTTTTAACTAATCATGATTAGTTGTTATGTATTCCTTTATCATCGTTATCATTGACATAGAGATTTCCCGGATTCACTTTCATCTTGAAATAATTCCAAAAATATATGCAACTAATGTGAAACCTTAGCCCGTTGTAAGGAAATACTTGCGCGGGTGACTTACATATATTTTTTTGAATGAGAATCATTGGAATTGATACACACTACACCGAAAAGAATACCATCAGTTGTAATTTAAATATTTCATCCGAAATTTCAATCTCTAGAAGAGTTAGAATCAGGATGTCGAGTAAAACTTTGGAATAGTGAAGTTTGTCCATATACAATATTTATGTATTGTCTTTTATACAACGGATAGCCGGTTTGTGAAACTTCTGAAAGTCATTATTTTAGAAAACTGAAAAGATGATTGTTTTAAGGAAGGATCATTATGAATGAGATTTATTCAATGTATATAACAGTTTCCTATTATTGTTAGATGTCTAGATATAATTGTGAGGAAGTTTTACATTCAGACCTCATTTTTGTTTTAATAATAATGAGCAAGAAGCATATATGGTCTTTAGGAGACTTTTATTCTTTGAGATCTGAACCTTTAATGATTGCTATTAATTAGTAAACATCACCGCAGTGTAAATGTTCGCTATGAGTGCGCTATAGGCTACTTCAGGGGATTTTCAAGAAAAACTACATACTTATAAGACGTCACTAAGTTATCAGAATTCAGATAAGCTATATTGATGGGGGGGAGCAAATGGCATAGAAAATACATTTTATGTTATTTGATAACTCTTACTTTGTCTGTTATTCCAAAATGTAAATCCTTTTTTTGTTATTCTAAATTAATTCGCACAACCTTACGTAAAACAGTTGGGTTTCCGTAAAACATCTGCGATTATTAAGATTTCATGAAGGGTGACCTCTTGATTTCATTATTATTAAAAAACCAGCCGATTAAAAAAGATTGCTTCAGAGTTTTTGTACCATACCGCTAATTTTTTTAAGTTTAACAACTGCAGAGAAGAAGAATCCAAACTTTTGATTGTTTACGATTCTTTAAAGATTTTCTTTCATTGTGTTATACAGAAATTAGAAAACAAAAGAGCTCTCGAATGCTAATTAGAATGTTTTAAAATCAAACACAATTGCATATGAAGTGTTCTTGAGTTTATTGACCTATCCACACTTATGATCGCACCGTGTAGCTATTTGACCAACACATACAAACATGTGGAACATTCGGAAAAGTTCTATACAGGTGTGCTATCGAGCAGCTTTGAAAAAGCTCACCGATTTCGGAATTTTTTGAAAGGTACCTTGAATAGCATTATTAGAGTGAGGTTTAATTATCAAACTGTTTATATTCTTCGCTAAACGATGAAAATATCACACCCGACGAAAAAGTGACTGACTATGTGGACTCAGTAGCTAAGTAGATAATGTGTTGGGTGTCTGAGCCTACAATCGCTGGTTTCGAGTCCCGATTTAAACATCAACACTGGAACGTAGGTCCGTCCAGCTGGTGAATCCCATATAGGACGAACCGCGCGTCATGGGTCCCATTGTTGGGCACAACCCATTTATTATCTCGAATAGATTTAAAATCGCACTGTGTTGCTGAAGAATAGTAATAAAAGATAGGGTCACACAAAGATAAGACGATAAGACTGTTACATGGTAAGTCAAGTAAATAAACTTAGGTTAGCAATTTATAGTTTTCTACCTATTTTAATCTGGATGTTCAGACAATGAGTTCGAGATAACAACTAGTACAGTATAACTAAGCTGCATTAAATTATTTCAAATGCACTAAAACTTTTACAAAAAAAGTGACCAGGTTCATGTAGACTTATTAAATCCGATTCGAGAGTATATTATTACAAAGTAGTTGGCTAAAGTTTCATATTTACTTTATTTGTTATTAAAAAAGTTGCAATTCCCAAAATAAAATGACAAACATAAAAAACACTACATTGGCTTATTTAACCATACTCAAATTTATGTGCTGAATTGGTAAAAACACTATTAGTGTTTGTAAAATTTTAAGTTTATCGAGCTATTAAGATGCTCTAGAGTTTAGAAAACGGCATGCAGATGACCTTTTTATATGAATGAAATTCAAATCTTGAAACTGTTGACATAAATCCCAGTAATCAATGGTGTTCAAACATACGTTCGTTCAAATATACTATAATCATATCAGTAATGGACATTTTAAGTCTTGGGTTTTATGTTGAAAGTTAGTACTAAGATTTATACGTGAAACAACATAAAAAACAATCGGGAAAAATTGATTTCAGAACAAAAATATCAATAGAAATTCACTTGATCTGGTATCCGTTTTTTCAAAGTAACCTACCCTGAAGAGATTTAAACGAAATCAACGATACCGAGAGTGAGACAGCCATCACACCAGTGAAACTCATTACAACCAAGCAATAACAGTAAAGTTGGAAACATGAAATAACTGTTTTCATAGCAATGGGTAGCAGGCCTGATGAAACCGGGTTCGATACCTTGTAGGATTGCATTGAAGCTTTAGTGTGAAACTTTTGACAGGCTAACATTCATAAAAATACTGCTTGACACACAATACTTAAAACCATCGGTTTGACGTCTGATTACGTTTCGATCTAAAGAAAAACAAAGCAGTACCAAAAATAGTCATCGCACCCAATCTCAGTTGAATAATAAAGAGGACTCACTATCATTCCCTGAGGACTCTAAATGTTGTTGATAGAACTGTATTTCTACTGAAGTGTTCTCCACATCTGACGTTTCAATGAAGAAAGTTACATCATCTCCAAGTTTATAAAGTGTACCACAACATTCTGGTTGTTCACCTCTATGAATACGGCAGCGATTGATTTCCAAAGTGGACATTGGAACTGGATAGGATCGACTAACAACACTAGAGTATGATGTTCTACTTGAAGACGGGTACTGTAGACATGAAAGTTTACGAGTTGAAGAACCAGTTTGGTAGATCAAGGTATCTTCCTTTTGTGAGCATTCAGGCTTATTTGGCGTTACACCTATTGTGGGTGAAATGAAATACATGGGATTTAGAATAATGGGTATGTGGATATCCCCAATGGGGTTCACACGCTTCTTGATATCAATCTACTAGATGAATTAATAAATTATGAAATACTATTTTACTTGATATTTAGCAAGAATAATATATTTTACATAACATCTGGAAGAAACTCCGATCATCTGACACATTTCTAGTAGAGATATATAAGCAGCTATAAAATAAAGCTCTTGTTGTAATTGTTATCCAACACTTGGGAATCACTAAATGCTGCAGAGATTGTGAAGTTAATAAAATGGATCCATGAGATAACGATAAGTTCAACTTTAAAACCAATATCAAGGGTACATCTATTAGAATTTTATAGATGGTAGTAAAACCAAAATCACCATGAGATATTTCAAAATTATGTAAATGAATTACCAACTGTAGCAAAGTCATCCGTTCTACTCTTTGCTGATGACATAAAAATTTGGAGACCCATACACTGTATGTCAGATAGGATAGTATTACAGAATAGTCTTAGCTCATTGGTGGTATGGTTGGACAGGTGGTCACTAGAAGTAAATCCTAATAAGAGTGTAGTAATGCAAATAAATATGATGAATCGTATCACTACACAATAGGTGGATTTGTGCTATCCAAAGTAATAAAATATAAAGACTTAGGAGTCATATTAAGCAGTGATCTCAAAACCACTAGTCACTGTAAGGCTGCTGCTGCGAAAGGCTATAGGGTATAATGGTCTATTCGTAGGTTTTTCCAGTATTTAGATGGCGAAATGTTTAGATTATTATAAATTTCATGCAATTGGTTCCCTTTATGAATTTAAATAGAGCAAGAACAAACATTGATGCAGAATAGTATGAATTCATAATATTTCGAGGCTGTAAGCAGCTGACGAGAAACCTCGAAATATTATGAATTCATACTATTCTGCATGAATGTTTGTTTTTGCTCTATTTAGATTATTATACCCGATTTATGTGCAACCACATTTAGAATATGGGATTTAAGCAGCGAGTCCTTGTTTCAAGTATGAAGCAGATATGCTGGAAAGAGTCCAAAGACGAGGTACTAAGAGGTTACAAGGTCCATCTAGTCTGTCTTATGAAGACAGACTGAGACACCTTAACTTATTTCCGTTATCTTACCGTACAATACTGGGTGATCTAATATTGGATTATCGTATACTGAACGATGACCTTGGTATAAACATGTCTTATCTTTTAATCCCGTCTAGGACAGCTCATTTGAGAGGACATTCGAAGAAAGTTCAAAAACTGAGATAAAATCGTTTACGTCTGGAGTTTCGTTTCTCGCACCGAGTAGTGAATTATTGGAATTCTCTACCGGAACACGTACTATCAGCACCTTCTGTTGACATATTCAAAAGGAGATTTGACCTCCACAGTTTTACAAACTGCAAGGATTAATATAGGTCGATAGACCTCCTATCCTTATTACTGAAGACTGAAGTTTGAGACACTGATATGATTAAGCTGAAGGGAAGGATTATAGGTAATGAGAAAATAGTTTTATCCTGTTTAATTCAATAAAATAGTTGATATAGAGCGATAATTAAGTGAGTAAACAAAATATTTGGTAGGAGAAATAGGAAATAGCATTACAAGCTTCGTAGTAAAAATAACATACAACACGAGAAGCGATAGAAGAACACCTGGTTATTATATTGAAAACGTAATGCGTGTGCTTTTGAGAAAGATGGTCATTTCTTAAGTAATTTTGTTTCGTTTCTTATTAAATCGAAAAGATTTTTCCCAAATATTCATCTAATAAATTCGGTTTTTAATACTTTTGTTTGTCACATACAGCATCGTCATCTTTGGGACATTGTAAAGTATTCGGGTATTTTTGAAGTTTTCTAAGTTTTTCAAACCTGTAGTTTAACTTTTATGATTTCCTAGAATTTTTTTAGAATTCTAAGCAGCTGTTTGAGACTTCAAAGCCCTCGTTATCTAAAGGGCGGTTTTGTTAACCAGTAGGAGCCACACTGATAGCAAATCAAAATGTGAGAAAGGGTAGCTATTGTCAGAGAAAAGTAAGAGGGTGGATATCGAAAACCTGTTATTTCAGAATAAATTTAACCTCAAGGGATACCGACTTGAAGAGGGGTTTTTTCTAGCCAAGACAAACGAACATGACAGTAGTTAGACAAGTACAAATCGAACTATATGTGAAATTACTATAGTCAAGTTTGAAAAGTCACAAAACTCATAAGACATATGAATATGAATTAGAACACTTCACAGTAATTATTTGAATAACACTAAAAAGTGAAACAATTAGCAACAGGATATACGGTCACGTTATCTAGTGACTACATAGACTTTAAAGTGATAAGAACTATCGAACATATCTCATTATTTTCTTCACTCAGGCTTATTTCCGTGGTGATGATAAAAGACCTCAGAAACCAAGATCGATAAGGATTAAAGTGGCATTCCACCTTTATCGTTGATTCTTTAAGAGTAGAACATCATGATCGAAGAGGTATCAGCTACATCGGCAAATGTTTTCAACGAAAACCAGAACACTAACACCGCTCATGAAAGTTAACAAGACTTATGTCAGCCTACATAATTAAAACCTAGCGAGATAATTTAAAAGCTTACGCGTTTCATTATCTTCGTCATCGATAGACATGGGTTGCAATACATATCTAGAGCATGCAACAAATAGCTGAGTGTGAGGAGTGAAAACGTCGTTTTTGAAGAATTTGCAGGAAGTACTTGACATGCGAATATGAATCTCAGAGTTTGACATCAACCAGCCACGCTGAACGAAGTTTCCATTTTCTTTAGGGAATAACTGATAGTTTTGTAAAACTTACCAAAAACACCGAATTCCGTATGAATCTCTGTATCTTTGTCTGTATTTAAGTTACCTAAAGCTGAGACTAAGTGAAAATTACCTGTCGGAGTGAATTCCCTAGGCTTTAGCCGGGACTCCCACGCTAAAATCTTCAGACTTAGTGAGAGGGCATTTTCACCCATATTTTCAATTAATTCTGCCAAGAAGAAACGGTATTGGAACGCAGACAGTGATTGAAGTGTGAGACAACAGTGCCATGTTTCAGTACTAAAACAGACACGTTGTATATGATTTATATAAATACTTATTAGTATTTTCAGACTGACGATCGCAAAACAAAGCTTTTTCAGGATTCCATAGTCCAAGGACAGCCAACGATCCTGTAACTCCAACCACTATCTTGCGTTTATATTCAGCTACGGAAGTTTCGACATAAATTCCAACATCTTCCAAGGACTTAAAGTTAATATCCACTGAAAAAGACAGAGTAGGGAGACTTCGTACACGGGCCATCCCGACTAGCGCAAAATATTTTGAATATGACAGGAAAATATAACCTTTTAAAGGATGCCTAGAGATTACTGATAAACAAGTAAAATGTCTACCCATCAGAGGACAAAATAATCATTTTATTTCGCTATATGATTTAAATGGTACAAATGCTTTAAATGGTCTTAGGAGGAGATCAGGAACCATTCGCTTAATGGGCTCCTATATCTATTGGCAGAGTATTACTGAAGTATTAGATAGTGAAATCCAGTTGACTGGTTTCATAACCAGTAGGGCTGATAGATTAAACCGAAGGGGAGGCGGGGTTATTGTGTACACGAAAAGTACCCTAACCATAAGATTAGCTGAGACAGTAGCACATGTTTCAGGGACATGTGAACTGATGAGATGTAAGTTGAAATGCCGAAGGCAAGATATTGAAGTAGTTGTAGTTTATCGCAGTCCAGAATGTGTAGCAGACGATTTTCTCCTCAGTAAACTTAAGTCCTGGTGTAACGACGGTAAAAGCCTTGTAGTAGGCGACTTTAATGCACCATATATAAACTGGGTTAACTTAGAAGTAGGGTCATCCATATCGTCGTTCGACTCCAAACTGTTAGAAACCTCGATTGGACTAGCATTATTCCAACACATTAGAGATCCCACAAGATACGACTTAGGAAAGTCTTCTCTTTTGGATTTAGTCTTCACACACGGGGATGACGTTGGCCAAACGGCTTTTCTTCCACCACTTGGGAGAAGTGACCATGCAGTCATCTTATTCAAATTCATGGCTGAGATTGCTTGTCAAACAATTGCACCGGCCCGTCCTAACATATGGAAGGCAGATATGCAGGCAATTAACTCCGCAGCATCGGCTGAGAACTGGGAAATTGACTCAAAGGCACCAGTACAAGAGGCATGGACTCTATTCAGGCAGTTATACAATCGGGTAACTCAATCATACATACCCTGGACTGTCCCAAAGAAAAAGAAGCACGGACATCCCTGGATAGGGCGGGATATTCGACGCTTACTAAGACAAAAGAAGAAATGCTGGGATGTTGCCATCCGCCTTGGCAAAGCAGGTACGATGGAACGCTACAGATCGATAAGAAACGAGTGTATAACTAAAATTTGGGAAGCACAAAGAAAATATGAAATGCAGCTGGCACAATCTGCACTCAAGCAGCCCAAGAGGATATTCTCGTACATAAACTACAGAACAAGGATTCATCATTGTATTCCCAACCTAATTAAAGTAGGAAGTGAATCTGAAATGATAGAGGAAGATCAGGAAAAAGCTGAGGTTATGGCTGACTACTTTGGGGCAGTTTTCACTCAGGAACCTCCTCTAGAGAAAGAACCAGACCCAACTACAGAGTCAACAAACCAGCTACTCACCGTGGACTTCGACCAAAACGACGTCCTTAAGGCTCTTAGCACCCTAAACATGGAGAAGTCAACAGGACCAGATGAACAACACCCCAAAATCTTGAGACATATTGCCCAATATATCGCAGCCCCACTGACCGTGATATTCAAAATGTCACTTGACCAAGGTGTGTTACCTATGGACTGGAAGGACGCAATCGTCACTCCCATACATAAAACAGGTCTACGACAAGTTCCATCAAATTACAGACCCGTAAGCCTCACCAGTGTTGTAATTAAAATACTGGAAAGAATAATCAAACGGACCATAACGGCATTTATGGAAACCAATAACTTGTTGAACATGGAACAACATGGTTTTAGAAAGGGTCTATCCTGTACAACGAACCTCCTTATAGCTAGGGAGCTCTGGATTAATGCGCTAGACAACGGAAACTCAGTGGATGTTGTCTACATAGACTTCAGTAAGGCTTTTGACAAGGTGCCAACTAATAGACTGCTATTGAAGTTGGCAAACCTTGGTATTACCGGACCTCTTTTAAAATGGATTAAGTATTTCCTAGTAGGTCGTAGGCAAAAGGTAAGAATAAATTCCAAGTGCTCCATCTGGAGACCAGTACTTAGTGGAGTACCCCAAGGTTCCGTCTTAGGTCCTTTACTTTTTATAATGTACGTTAATGATCTTACAAGTATAGTACAGTCTCCAATGTTATAATACGCTGACGATGTAAAAATTTGGCGAGTAATAACTGGAGACAAAGACGCATTTACTCTTCAGGCAGACTTAAATAATATGATTAACTGGTCTAAAGAGTGGCTAATGCCTATCACCTCGGAAAAGTGTGTCTACATGCACTTGGGGGATTCAAAGGTCAATACGTACAACATAGGGGATGTGTCATTACCCGTAGTCCGGTCTCATAAGGATCTAGGAGTGACAGTGAGCAATGATCTTAAGACGACGGCCCATTGCCGGGAAGTCACAAATAAGGGGTTTCGAACCCTCTGGGCTTTAAAAAGGACATTCGCTAAGCTTGAGACTACCATGTTCACCACAGTATACACATCCTTAGTGAGAACTAAGTTAGAGAACTGTGTTCAGGCTGCAAGCCCCTGTTTAAAAGGTGACTCAGACATACTAGAAAAGGTACAGAGGGCAGCTACGCGTGCAATTCCGGAACTCCGGGGTTTATCATATAAAGAGCGGCTTGAAAAACTGAACCTCTTTACTCTGTCCTATCGCAGACTAAGGGGAGATCTAATATTGATGTACAGAATACTGAGAAATGATTTCGGACCTAACTTATTCTCTCTCTTTCTTCCCACTAGATCGGGACACCTCAGAGGACATAGCAGGCGAGTAGAAAAGCCAAGAACGAACAAAATACCCGTGGCATACAGGTTTTCACACCGAGTCATCAATACTTGGAACCTCCTGCCTGAAGCAGTGGTGTCCGCACCTTCAATTGACTCTTTCAAGAGAAAACTGGACACTCACAGAAGAATACTAGAAAAGGAATAACATAGGCCATAGGCCTTCTGTCCTTACTACACAAATCTGAATCTGAAATCTGAATCTGATGTCTCCAGGTGTGATCATAAGTCTATTTAACGGTATAAAGAAACCAACCACAAAACTATAGTGAAATGCTGTCCTGGCTTCCCAAAAATATGTCAAGTTTCCCTTTCAAATGAGTCTCCTGGGCCACCTCAACAGGCAGCGATTTCCAGAATTTGACTAATCATCAAGAGTATATGTACATACAGTCCATCCTGCTATGTTTTGTTTCTAAATTCTGAATGTTATCCTTAAAGTTTGTGTTTGAACTGGGCTGATCTAGATGCTTTAGTGGATGTCCATGAGTGCTTATGATCCTATAAGTCATTAGTTAACCTCACAGACGCCCATCATCTAGCGGGTAAAGATTCAGTGATTTGTGGCGTTCTACATCAGGTGTGAGTTTGAGTCCTCGAACATATTTGATGCCTTGCCCTTGAACACACTCTAATGTGTTCTTATCCTTTTGGAGTGAGTGAGGAAAAGTTATATTTCCATACTCCAAATGGAATCGAATAAAACCGTTGGAGATTAAGTGTTAAGTTCTGCAGTCAAACTGGTAAGCAATCCTCCTCAACGTTTCTAGCGCAGGGTTCACCCGAAAAGCGCCTTGGCCACGGTTATCGTGATTATTAAGATCACATGCTACCATTATTCCCAGATCTTTTAGGACTTGAGGTACCTCTAAGGGGGAGTTACCTAGGTCGTATGCGTAGTATACGACATCTCAGAAGGGCTACTTTACGCTTTGAAGCGTTGAAAGTAAGTCTACTGTTATCCACCCAACTTTCAAATCGAGTTAGATCCTCCTTATACGCCAGCTCAACATCTCGGCGACAAAATTTTTTTTAAGGTTCACCATCGACAACGAAAAGTAATGACTCGGATGATACTTGCTGAGGAAGGTCATTTATATTTTAGATCCCAGAAGAGCCCTCATACTAATACAGAAACAGACTACAATTCTGCATTGGTGAGACTGACCAAACCAACACAGCCCGTTATTAATTTTCATACTTACTTTAACTTTATCGACTGGTTTATACTTATGCTAACCGATTATCCTACTAGTCTGCTAACTAGTGCTCACATGTATTATATTGCAGTAGTGATTAGTATTCGCAGCTTACTAGCTCGATTGATAATAACTGATAATGGGTATTTATGGTAAACTATGATGGTTCACTGCCAAGTCGTTGTGGCATTTAAATGTTTCTGTGAAATGGACTTGTTAAAACATAAACCACTGGCATATGTGGTGCTTAATGGACGTAAATACACACTAACTATCAATTTACGCAAGAACTAGATGGTCATGCATACCTATTTCCTCATCTTGTTTATCCGCTTATTGAGCCTTTAAATAAAGGTAAGAAGGAAATTTTTTATCGACAAAAGCATCTACTTGAGCAGTAATTTTGTATTTGTTTAATGAACATTTAAGTCTACAGGAGAATGAAGTGATCTGTAATTTCAATTATCCAAAGGAGGTGGCGTAGTAATCAGGGTGTTAGAGAAGAATTGGAGGATGAAAATAATTTGTGGGACGGAAATATGAGAGGGGTGTTTGAGTCGAAAATCTACACATCTGTGAGGGATTACGGATCGACCAATATGAACTCTTCTTCCCAAGCCTTAGTTCCTATCTATAGTATTTTTCGGTCTTGTTTTGTATCTATGGTCACTTATTAATTTTTAAAACCGCATTCATTTATTAATGTCTCAAAAACTGTCACGGTAATTGCTCAACTGTTATCATGGCTTTTACGTTGTTTTTCTTCATGCTGGTCAAGTGGACATTTATCTGTCATACTTCTGACCCTTGAAATTGTTTCATCCTCACAGTCCAAACTAACATCCTAGTCATTGGCCAACTTCCTTCCAATGCTTAAAATTACAGGCTGATTTATAATACAGCTTCTTCTGGTCTTCAGTAGACTCACATATTTATCAAACAACCATAAGTACGAAATCCCATGCTCAAGTAGATGATTTTGATTTATGCTTCAAAACTGTTAGTGTTTTCTAAGATTCTTCAAGGCCCGAATTAGTAGAACACCGCGTAAAAATGTGTGTGGATCCAGTAAAGAAATATTCAATGTTGTCACA